TTTTTTTTTTTTTTTTTTTTTTTTTTCTTTATAGTTATGATACTCTTTCTATTTCTTATAATTTTGATATAGGTTGTAAAACCTTAAAAAAAAAAAAAATAATTTTTATATATAAATAAAAAGTTATGTTCATATATTTAAACATACTTATGTATATATATGGATACATGTATAATGTATCAACACTTTCAATAAAAGTTTCAAATGGGTTATCTCTTTATCTTTTTTTTATTTTTGTATATAAATTTTGAAAAATTCTATTTAATTTTAGCTGCATTTATAAAAATAATGAATTCTTAAGTGAATATTACAAAGACAAAAAAGATTAAAATAGTGTGTATTTTAAGAAAAAAAGCAAATAATAATAATAAATAAAATAGAAATTTTAATAATATATATACTTTATAATTTTAATATTCTGTTCTGTATTAAAATAAAATAAAAAAAAAAAAAAAAAAAAAAAAAAACTTTTCTTGAATTACAATGTTAATAGATGAAATATTAAAATGTATACATGTTAAGAAATTTTCCTAGTACCCTATAAAGAATAGTGATAATAATAATATCTAAATATGTGCATACATTAAATATATATATTATATAATTCCCTATATCAAATTATTTCTTTTACTTTTTTTTTTTTTGTTTCTTGTATTTCGTGTTTCAATAACTTTTTAGTTGGTAAATTTGTAAAAAAATTTTTTTTAGCAAATTAGTGGTTTAAAAAAAAATGCAAAAAACAGAAGAAAATTTATTAACACTTATTAAAATAGTTGAGGATTTTAGTACGAAATGCACAATCTATAAGAACAAATGTATTTCTAATTTAATGTTTTCAAATAATGTATATACAAAAAATTCAAATGATAAAAATGACAGAGAAGAATTTTTAAAAACTTTTAATGATTTTTTAAGAAAACTTAATATTTTGCATCATCACTTTTCAGAAGACAATAATACAGGTGAAAATGACCAAAGTATAGATATAATATATAATAAAGATAAAAACATAAATTGTATAAATAATGATGAAAATAAAGACATAAGTAATACAGAAAGTTCTTTTGAAAGAAGTTTAAATAATGAAAAAGATATGAAGATAGACCTGAAAAAAAAGATTAAAGAAGAGGAAGAAAAAAAAAAAACAAAGTGCATAGTTGAAGAAATAAAATTAGTAAATGGTTTAAATAGGAATGATTTATCAAAAAATGATAAAAAATATAGTCTAAGTATGTATGAAGGATATCATACTGATTCAAATACTGAATCTTCTTTAACTAATACAGAAATAAGTATTGAAAATGAAGACATACTTAATAAAAGAAATAATATCTTAATAAAATATGTCATAGATTTAGATTATGCACTAAATGTTAGGAGAATATCAAAGGAAAATTTAATAGAAGAAATTAAAGAATTTTATACTATTCATAATAGTAATATAAAATTAAATGATTATTCAAAGTATTTAAGTTATGATATCATCAATAAATTAAAAAAAAAAATTGATAAAGATAATTTTAATCTTATTAATAAGCACGGAAACCCTTTTAAAAATAACAAATTTTTTTTTAATGTTCCTAATAATTACTTTTTTACTAAGAGTTACAATGAAAAAAACAAGGATATTTTATATACATCTAACAATACAAATTATGAAAAAAGTTTAAAAGGTGTAAATGTATATTCACTATCTTACAATTCATCTACAGTTAATGGAAATAATTACAATTTTTGCACAAATAACGTATTAAGTAGAAATAATTCTAATAATAAATATAGTTCTCCTAATTTTGGTATATTAGAACGTCAACTTTCTCCTAATTTTGGTTCATTTGATGAAAATAATAAAAATGGAAATTTTAGTTATAAGGATGAAAATGAATATCACAAGTGTTCTGATTATGAAGAAGAAAAATGTAGTATATATTTTAAATATAATTCAAACAATGACCCAATAGAAAATAATAAAGTATTAAGTAAATGTTCAACTACCCTATCTTCAAAAAATATGAATATAAGTAATTCTCCTGATTATAGTAGTAATTATAATAATGAAGATGAACTAACTAATAATTTGAATGATAAAACAGAATTAGAAGATGAGAATACATATGAAATAAATAACATAGAAAACAAAAAAAATAATTTAAGTAGTAATACAAGCGATTTTTATCAAAGCATAAGTGATTTTTACAAAAATAAAGAAAACTACAATTGTGATGAAAATAATCATACATATATTCGAAATAATTCTCTTTTTTTGAATAGTAATGAAACAGAGGTAAATACAAATAATAAAAGTTGTCATCAAAATAGAGAAAATATTATTAATTTATGCTTTGATGATGAATTATCCAATGCGATAACCTTAAATAATGACTCCTTTACAAATCAAGATAAAAAAAATTGTTATCATTCTGAAAAAAATGGCCATATAAGCAATTATAAAATAGATTGTAACGGTATAAATTTATATAATGAAGAAAAAGAAATAAATATAGGAAAATTAATGGAATATGAAAAAGATGAAAGTAGATGGTTTGATGAATATTGTAATGGAGATTATAATTTATTTAGATCAAAGCAATTGAAAAAAAAGAAGGAAGTAATGCTTCATTATTTAGATAATATGTCGAATAATAAAAATAAAGACGAAGAATTAGACAAAAGCAATATGAATGAAATAGATAGCATTAATCTTAATAAAGATTATACTAATTATGATAATACTTATAATGTAATTAATCTAAAAGTTATGTATGAAAATAACAAAGGAGAATTTGGTTCTAATGAGGAAATAAACTTTTTTCCTAGTCAAATTATTTTAAATAAGTATCAAGTAGTAAAAATTTTATCTAAAACTAAATTTAGCACTACACTAAAATGCTTGAATTTACTTTATAAAAAAGATAGAAAACATAAAAAAACTCATCCTGTAACTACTGTTATAAATGATAAAGAAAGTATACATAGATATAATGATGAAAATATGTCAATATCATTAAATAATTTAAGAAATGAAAAAAATATATTAAGTTCAAATGAATGTAATAGAAAGAAAAATTGTGATTCAAAATATTTTCTTAGAAAAAATAAAGAAAAGGATTATAAATATGTATGTTTAAAAGTAATGAAAAATGGAAAAAGTTTCTTAGATCAAGGATTGTTCGAATTAATTGTTTTAAATATGTTGTGTGATGAAGATAACATAAATGCTAATAACAATGACAAATTAACTAATAAAAATATTATACAACTATATGATTATTTTTATTTTAAAGAACATTTAATAATTGTAACTGAATATATGCAAAGTGATCTATATAACTATTTTATTAAAAAGGGAAAACTAGGAACTATCGGTCAATTACAAGTATTGGCAAAAAATTTGCTAGAAGGATTAGCTTATGTTCATTCTAAAAATTTAATACATTGCGATATAAAACCTGAAAATATTATGATAAATATGAAAAAAAAAAAAAATGCAAAACAACGAAAAAAAAAGAGTAACGAGAATATTACTAACGAAAAGGAAGGAAATTATTACAATTCAAAAAATTTCAGAGTTTTAAAAATAACGAAAAATGATAATTCAGAACATGATTTACATAACGATAAAAATAATCAGGATAATTTTATACCTAGCTTAAATAAGAATAATTTAGATATTCATAATACAGATTTCAAAAATCCTAATAATGATTTAAATAAATATTATATTAATTCGAATGAATTTAGTAATTGCTCAAATAAATTTATTAATGATTTATACAATCTTAGAGAAAATTCAAAAAACTCTAATAACTCGCACATTTTTAGCGATGAAAAATTTGATAAAATTAAAATAATTGATTTTAATAGTGCTATATATGAAAGTGACAAATTAGAAATGTATGTTCAGACAAGATCCTACAGATCACCTGAAGTACTATTACAGCAAAATTACGACAGAAAAATTGATATATGGAGTCTTGGTTGCGTACTATTTGAATTTTTAACAAAAAAAATATTATTTGATCATCAAAATATATATCGTTTTATATATTCTATAGTTTCATACATTGGATATTTTCCATTCTATATGATTTATGAATGTAAAATACCTTATATTTTTACAAAACATGGCTTAATGATTCTTAAAAAAATTATTATTGATAAAAATTATGAGAATTATGTTAAGGAAAAACAAATTGATGAAATTTATGATCAAGAAGTAATTTTTAATTCAAAAGATTTTTTTCGTTTAAACAAAAAAGAAGATTTTGAAAATGAATTATTAGAAATAGAACAACAAAATAATGATGGTTCATCCAACCAAGGGAATCAAGAAATATATTATGACGTTTGTTATCCATGTGAGAATTTTTTAAAAGACAATTTTCATGTTGGTGATTTATTATTTATAGATTTCCTTTTATCATTATTACAAATCGATCCATGCAAGAGACTTGATTCAATTCAAGCATTGAAACATCCTTGGCTTACACCCAATATATATGAAGATGGTTTATAATATTATATATATTTCCTTTTAAAATATATAACAACTAAATTTTTACACTTATAATTTCCATATACAAAAAAATCAAAATAAAAATAATATATAATTATATATAAATTATAACAATAAAATTATAATATATAAAAAATAATTTGTAAAAAGTATCTACAAAAATAAATAAAAATGAATAAAAGTATATATATTTAATAAGAAATTAAAAAGTATTTATATTAAAATAAATATAAAGCATTATAAAAAAAAAAAAAAAATTAACAAATAAAAAAAAAAAAAAAAAATTTTAAATAATGTTTGGAAGAATATGTTTATATATTATTTTTTAATTTTTTTTTTTTTTTTTGTTTGCTTTATTTTTTTCTATTGTTTTAATTTATAATAATTATACTCATTTATTTGCATAAAAATTATTTTTCTTAAAGTTTGCGGACTCCTATTTTAAATAATTAAGACAGTTAAAACATTATTTTTATTCTTCTCTATCATTATTTTTTTTATCTTCTTTTTCTTTTTTATATTCTCTTTCCTTCTTATTTTCCTTATCTTTCTTACCTTCTTTTTCTTTTTTATTTTCCTTATCTTTCTTATTTTCTTTACTTTTTTTATTTTCTTTATCTTTTTTACCTTCTTTATCTTTTTTATTTTCTTCATTTTTATTATTTTTATTAATTTCTTCTTGTTCCTTATTTACATTATCTTTGTCCTTTATAGCTTCATTTTGTAAATTTCCATGTTCATTTTCTTGTTTTTCTGTAATTATTTCATCATCCTTCATGTTCTGATTCACTTCATCTGGATTTTCATTATATTTTGTTAACAAAACATTTAATAATTCTTCAAAAATAAGTTTGAATTGGTTATTTTGACTATTGTCGGAATATAAAATATAATAAACAATAGATATACTAATTCTCACATTAACTTGCAATTTTAGTATATTTTTGAAAATATCACTGTCAAAATCAAAATCTTGTGAATCTTTTTTTCTTTCCATATTTTCCTTATTATAAGACTTTAAATTATTTTTTTCTTCTTCATTTAAAAAAAATAAACCATTTTTAATATGTGAAAAACAATTAATTCTATAATCTTTTAAAGAATATGCATATGATGAAGATACATATATAATATTTTTAATATTTTCTATGAATGTTTCTTTATAAATATGTAAAATTTTTTTTGCTTCTTCTTTTATAGTTAATAATGCTTGGTAAAAATGTTTCAAAAAGTAATAAATACAATTATTTTCACATTTTGTTTTTGTCACAATTTTATTGTAAGTTCCTTCATTATTTAGACAAAGTAATTCATATAAATTAATCTCATTTTCTTCTTCAATTATTTGGTTATTTTTTACTTTGTCATATAATGTAGAATCATTCTCATCTTTTTCTAGTTCAGTTGATTTGGGTTCATTATTATTAAAAATATTTCTATTATTAATATTGCTATTATTATTATTATCACACATTTCTCCTGAACAATTCAGTAAAGAATATAAAAATGACAAAATAATATGACTTACAAAACTGATACTCATACTCTTTCTATAACATACATTATCATATGATAACATTTTTTTTGCAAATAAATAACTAAAATAATAGTTGTATTGTTTATGTAACATAGTATGTATATAATAATCATTTGAAAAATTAAATAAATTATTTAATATATTTAAATCTTCATTGATAGTTTCTATGTTTTTATAATTAATAATGCAACCACAGTTTTCATATTCATTATTTCCACATATATTATCACATATATATTTATTATTTTTGCTACACAAATTAAAATTAAGTAATGCCTCTTTAAAATAGTTAGTTTTAGATATGAAACAATTAATAGAATTATCTTCACTATTATTTGTTTCATTTTCTTTTTTACTATTTTGTTCTTTATCATCATTGTATTTTTTTAAATACATATTTTTACATATAAAAGGAAAGTAATAATTATATGTTATTAATGGTAAAATAATAAAATTACTTATTAAATCTATTAATTTTTCATCTCTATAAACATACTTTTCATCTTTACCATTTTGTTCATTTTTATTATCATTACTAATCTCATTTTTATTTACTCTTTTAAAAATATAATTTTCATTAAATAAAAATTGCTGTAACTTTATGTATGCTTCACTTCTTGTTTTTTTAGAACTGAAGGAACATGCTAGTGAAAGCACAAAGCATGTTAATAAAAATATATACATTTTTTTTAATTCAATAACTTTGTCAAAAAGAAAATCATCATTTCTTTTGTAAAGGTTAATTTGATCACTACTTTCACAGTTTATAATAATACTTTTATTTGTTTTATTTTTTTTTGAAATATTCATATACATATATATACTTTTGTAATAAATGTTTGATATAATATGTAAACACTCCGAATTAATTGAAGCAATGTGTGCATTAATTTCCTCTTTTTTGTTACTAAAAAATAGTAAGTATGGTAACAATGATAAAATAATATTTTCAATATTAAAATTGTTTAATTTTATTAAAACGTTGTTATTATTTATTATATTGTTAATACTTTCTGTATATATAGTCGCCTTTTCTATATATATATATATGTCTTTATCATTTAAGGAAATATTTGTATTATTTGTATTTTTATATAAAATATTATTTGGGGTAATTAATTGCAATATGTGTAAATATATATTTATTATGCAGCTGTTTACATAGATATTTTTAGAAATTTTTTCCAATACATATATAATTTTATCAATATAACGATATAAAATATTTTTCTTTAAAAATTGTAAAATATATAATAAATATATACCACATAGAAAGAAGAATTTCTTATTTTTTTTCTTAAGTTGAAAATAAATTTTTGTAAAACAAGTATCATATTTTACTTCATTAAACTTTATTTTATTAATTTTATTTTTATCGTCTTTATATATATTAAAACAAATATAAGAGAAATTCATTATACTCATAATTAATTGCTCAACGAATAGCCATTCTTTTTCTGTATCTTCATTACAACTTTTTATAAGGAATAATTTATTTTCTATATCATGTATATCTATTTTTTCATCTTCATAATTCAAAATTTTATCTATTTCCTCAAAATTTTTGTCATAAATATGATATGACTTGTCTTTTGAAATATCTTCTTCTGTCTTTATTTCTACATTTTTCATTTTATAATTTTTAAAAATACTATTATATATATTAATAAAAATATTACTATCATCGTAATTTATTATTAAAAAGTTATTTAATAATTTAAAAAAATGCTCAAAAGTAATTACAATAATTTTTAAATGCATAATATACGTTTTCATATAAAGATCCATTTTAATTTTATCAATTAAAAATTCTTTCCTTCTGTTCATACAAATATATGTATTCATTTCTGCATTTAAACATTTTTGGTTACTTGAATTTTCCTTTGCAGAACAATTTATTTCATCTTTAAAATCATTATCAATAGTTTCTTCATTCTCTCCTTTCTCATTTTCTTTTTCTTCTTCTCCATTATCAGCATATGCATAAATTTTATCAAATTCACAATCATTTTTGAAATTTTTATTTTCCTCTTGATCCTCTTTATTTTCTTGAATTTTTTCTTCACCTTTAATGAGATAAAGATAAAGTTCATTCTTAGTTGTTTGATTTTTCCTAACAATAAAAGAATCATTAGATATATCACTAAGTACTGAATCACTAAGTGAGCTATTGCTTGAATTATCTGTATCATATATATTATTTAAAGAAAGATTAAAATCATTTTTTTTTTTTTTTTTTTTTTTTTCTCTTTTTTTGTCTACTATTATTTCATCTACTTTTTTACTTTCTTGAATAGATTCATCAGAATATTCTTCAATGCTCATATCGAATAAATTTTCGTACGATTTTTCAAACATATTATTTATCTCTATATTATCTATATAATTTTTTCTAAAATGTTTCATGCCTATTTTGCATAAAATATTATATAATACATATGTATAATTAATTTTAAAACACATAATATGAAAGAACATTTGTAATGCAAATATTTTCGTTTTTTTGCAGCAAAACAAATCAAAGGAGTTTTCTGAATTAACCAAAACAGGATTATAATCATTTATATGATCATGAACATTATTAAGACCATTATATTTATCATTATTTAAATAACTGCTATTAATAATTTGAGATTTTGAATATTGATTATTCAATTCAGTTTTATTGCTTAAATTTAATATATTTACTTCATTTTCTTTATTAAATGAACATTTAATTATTAAAAACCTTATTAAATGCACAAAACTATTGATATTTAAATTTGTGATCATATTATTATAAAAATCATTAAAGGTAAAAAAATTATAAATATCTAATTTTAATCTTTTATAAATATTTATATTGTCTATTATAGTACTATTGTCTACATTTTTGGAATCTCCTTTAATATTCACATAAATGCAGTTTAATTCATCTTCTTCAATGTTATCATCATGGCCTTCTTTGTTATCGTTTTGTTCTTTTTTTAATTCTGAGTTATCTTGTGTGTCCGTTTTCTCCTGTTCTTTATTTAAATAATTTTGTTGCTTTTCCTCTTTTTTTTTTTTTTTTTTTTTATCTTCCTCTATTTTTTCAGAGTAATTTTCTTTAAATATAATAGATAAATTATTATTTTCACTGTTATTATTTTTTGAAAAAAAAATATTACTAAACTCATCAATCCACTTAGATTTATTCAATTTCTTCACATTTTTCTTAAAAATTAAAAGAGGATGCTGATATATTTCTGTTATGCTTTTATTTATATTGTATGTTTCTAATGAATTTCCTTTATTAAACTTCCCATTTAAAAAATCTTTATCATTGTTAAATTGGATATTGTTTATATATATATATGGGTAAAAAAAAACTGGTACAAGATCAATTGCAACTAATTTGAATATAATGTTTATATATATAGACCAACAATCACGAAATAAATTGTGACACTTTTTAACAAAATAAAAAAAAAGATATAATAATGATTGAGATTTTTGAGTTAAATAAAAATTTATATATTTAAATATATAACATAATTTATTAATATTTATTATATCATAGTAATACGAAAAATTATTTATGAGCATTTTAAATATGCATAAACAATTTTCTGTTAAATTATAATCATTAGTTCGTTTAAAAATTTCAAAAAATATATGAAGGAAATTATTTTTTATAATTAGCTTGTTTATATCATATTTATAGAAATATACTTCCTTTTCTTTAATATAATGATATTTTTTATATTGTTCTTTCCTTTTTTCTAATAACTTCCAATATTGATCATCATTTGTATATGAATTCTGCGTGTTTGAAAATAATTTAATCTCCTCATGTAATATACAGTTATATAGATTTTCTAAATATATCCTATCTATATTTTTTCCATTATTTATACCCCTATTGTTTTTAATAAATTCCTCTAATTTCATTTTATTCTTCACTTGATTATTATGTAAATCTGTATTCAGCATAATAATTGAATAGGTTAAAATAAAAATAACATCACTATTTTCAACAATAACATATTTTTTGTTTATTTCTTCTTCATTCATTGATTGAATTTTTTTTGAAGTAATATAAACATTCCTATGAACATAATCTTTTATATCAACATTTTTTTTTAAATTTATATTTTCTTGAATATTATTATATCCTAAATTATTTCTAATATCATCAATTCCACTATTATTTTTATTATAATTCACATAATTATCCTTATTATGATCATTATTTTTATTATCACATGTATTATTATTATTCATATGGGTGTTGATTTTATCATTATTATCATCATTTGTTTTATTTAAATTATCTATTAGAATATACCTTTTGACATTAGCTAATTCTTCTTCTTTCATTAAACATACTATTTTATTATTTTCCCATTTATAAACAGAATCTAAATCACCATGTATTGGATTTGAATAAAAAAAGCATAAACTAAAATGTTCTAATATCCTTTCTATTAGTTGTGCTTCACCAGGCAATTTAAAATAGTATAAAAATAACCTTAATGAAGATAACAACGATAAATTGCAAAAATCAAATAGTTTCACATAATTTTTTAAAATATTAATATTTTTCCTGTGGGATATATATTCACCTATAAATTCCTTATCTAAAAAAGGGTTATACCTCAAAAATTTTGTTATTGATTTGAGAAAATATTCATCTTCTATTAAATTTTTTTGCATATTGTTAATATTGCTGCACTTAGAATTATTCTGTGAAGATTTACTTTCTACAGGAATATTATCTTTTTCTTTAACATGATCACTGTTTTTGTTTTTCCCCACTTTAACATTACTTTCTTCTTTTGATAATTTTTCAATTTTTTCTTTTTTACAAATGTCTTTTCCTTTTGATTTTTTTGAGTTATCGCTTTTATTTTTGTCTATTTTATTATTTAATTCTTCATTCTTGTTTGGATTTTCTGATGACACATCATACAAAATGCATTTTTTTTTTTCAACGTTTATATTTTCATCTTTAAGTATGTTTTCATTATTAACTTCAACTAAATTACTTACATCATCCACGTAGTTATCATTTTCTTCATTGAATTTTTTTTCTATTTCATATGTATCATCTAGATTTATTTCTTTAGTTAAATTATTATTATAAAATTTGTTTTTTTCTTGTTTTCTTTCTACATCATTAATATTATCAATGATATTATGACTAGAAATAGTAATGTTATTGCTATTATCATTAACATTTTTAGTATCATTTGCATCATTACTACCTTTATCATTTCTTTCTTTTTCTATATCCACTTCATTTATAGTAGAAGGTTTTTCCTTGTATGATAAACTAGAAGAATTAATTAAGTTTTTTTTATTATTGCTCGTAACTAGATCAATGGTATAATTGCCTTTATCAATTTTTGTAAAAGTTTCATGTGTTTCAATTATTTTAATTTTAATTAATTCATCGATAGATTTATTTTTTAATTTATTAAAAATATTTGCAGATTTTTTTAATATTTCTTTCCTTAGTTTTTTTTTACGCATTTTATTTTTTTTCTTTTTAATATATTGAACTTTAATATATTCTTTTAAATATTCAAATAATAATATAGAACAAAAATTAATATATCTGTTATCATCAATTGATGTCAAAAAGCTTAAAGAATATAATTTATTCATGTTACTTTTTTTTAAGTCATCTTTTTTCGATAAATTTTCTCTATGTTCATCCTTTTCAGAAGAGCAGTTATTTTTTTTGTTCTCAGTATGTTCTTGATTCTCTCTTTTATTTTTACATAAAAAACATTCACTATCCATTTTATTTATCTTTTCAGTAATTTCTTTTGTTACATTTCTATAAATATCACTTTTATGTTTTTTTTTTTTATCTTCTAGCTCATTGCTATTTTTATTTTCATATGAAGTAAAATTTTCATTTGTGTTTGAATTTAATACACTACTATAAGTATTTGAATAAATATCACTTCTAAAATCATTAATTAATTGGCTCTCATATCCAGAAGCTTCAGATACTCTATTATTTGATTTTCTCAAAAAAACATTATTTTTACTGTTGTTACAAAATTTACATGGACTTGATATATATAAAATACTTTTGATCATTTTAAAAATTACTTCATTTACAATAGTAGTATTCTGATTAAAATTTACGCACATTTCCAGTATTGATTGAATAAAATTCTCTAATAAATCAGATGCATATAAATTGATATCATAATTATAATATATTTCAAATAAAACATTTTCTAAGCAGAAATGAGATATAGTTAATAAAGCTATTTCAGCTATATTTTTTGACGAATTTTTTTTTAGTATTTCTAATAAAATGTTAATAAAAATTTCATTATAAATATAAAAATGCTTTTTGTATAAAATAAAAATATTTACATATACTCTCATTGACTTGCATATTAGAATATATGAAGAAGAGTTAATATGAATAAATAAACATCTTATTATGTTAGTTAATACATCCATATTTTTATTTGTAAATGAGCATCCACATATTTCTAACAAGATATTTAATAATCTAAAAGATAATAAATTAATGTTTTCCATATTATCATTAGAAATATCATTTTCAAATAAATCTTTATATAAACTTATATATTCTTTTTTTTTTAATAATTCCAAAACAAATTTATTCTTATTATTATTTATTAAAACTAATACTATAATCAGTAAGTCATTTATGGAATTATGATCTGCATTATTCATAAAACTACTCAAAATAACATAAAAAATATTTACTAATACAGATTCACAATTATCTTTAAATAATAAAGAATATTTATTGTTCTTATATATTTTAAAAATGTAGCAAATTATTTTTATTATATTTTTTTGGTCTATCATTTTAATTGCATTACATATTATATTGTTAAATAAAATTATAGTATCGTATAATATAATTTCTTCTTGACTAATATTATTATAATTAATTGGAGAATTTAATAAAGTTTCTATACTAATATTTATAATATTATTTCCTTTATTTATCAGAAAATTTGAATTTTCTTCTTTTTTAGAACTAGATTTTTTATTTAATTTATAATTCTTATTAAAAAAATGATATTTTTTTTTTGGTATTTTTTCATTTATCTTCATTTGAATTTCATTTTCATCATGCTTATCATTTACATTAATTAAATTATTCTCATCAAAAAAATGGGAATCTTTTTTATTTATTTTTTCTGTTTCAATATTGTTAGTTCCTTCTTCATTACCTATAGAAATATACGATATTTGTTTACTACTTATATTATTTTCATAATTCTGTTCATTAAAATTATTGCTATTATATTTTAAAATACGGTCTAATGAATGCAAAGCATTTAATTTTATTTTATAAAAAATATTATTATTTCTTATTATATTTAAAAAGGGAGCTATGTGATAAATATCAAGTTTATTATTAAAATCATTTATATCTATTTCCTCTTTTATGCTATTATTTAAATTATTAATACTATTATATAAGATAAATAATGCATCTATAATACTTGAATCTAAATTTTTATTATATTCATGTTTTTTTATAGTTGTTAAAACATTAATTATTTCATTTTTTATTATTGTAAAAATATTTAACTTTGGAAATTCATCATTATAAAATTCGCTTTTTATATAATCATGGCAAAATTTTTGCCTATTATCATCACACTCATAAGAATTATTTAAACTTATGCATTTATTATCTTCCTTTTTATAATATTTATATTCCATTTTTCATTAAAAATAGACCTTTTTTATATTTACATAAAACACTATATATATATATATATATAAATATATAAATTTTTAATTTTGATACACCTGGTTTTTAATTTATCATTTCATAATTTAATGTATCTTTATCTTTTATCTTTTCTCTATCTTTTTTTTTTTTTTTTTATTATTTTTTCATTTATACAATTTTAAATAATGGTTTAAACTTAATTTTTTTTTTTTTTTTTTTTTTCACTCTTATAATTATACACACTTATTTTTATTTATAATATTTCTTTTTATAATTTAATCCATTACCAAATTATTTTTGCAAATTAATTTTTTATATATTCTTAATTATAAATCATAATATTATAAAAAAAAAAAAAAAATATATGAACTATATTTATATTCCTATGTAAAATAAAATTATAATTTTAAAAAAGAAGTTACATTTTTTTATATTATTACAAAAATACAAAAAAAAAAAAAATTATTCTTTAATTTTGCAACATTAAAAAAAAAGAAAATATAAAATAAGTGTGAAATAAAAAAATAAAAAAAATGAATGAAAAAAAAAGTATAATAGAAAATGTGAAAAAAAGAAATAAAAAGAAAATATATAAAAAAGAAAAAAGGTTATAGATAAAAAAAACATATGAAATTAAAATTCAATAATATATAATTTAATTAGTTTTATTTGATCATTAGTACAAAAATAAAAAAAATAAAAAATACTCTTTGTTGCTAATATTTTTCTTTTTTTTTTTTTTTTTCTTTTTTGTACATTATAAAAACTTTAAGATTATGGGGAAAAAATAGTTATTTTATTATACAAAGAGGAAATAAAAAATATATTAGCTTTTTTGTAAAAAGATGAATACATTTAAATAAATTTTTTTTACTACACAATTTTTTATTATTCAAATTGCACCGGGAATTTTCTGAAATTTATGATTTTACTAATGATAATAAAAAACATATATTTTTAATACAATTTTAATAAAAATATTATTTCTATATTTTTAAATAGTGTAATATTCTATTTTTATTTTATTATTAATGTGCTTGTAAAATAAATTGTAATTATTTGGCTTTATTAAAAATTACAAAATTATAAATCTTAATTGGTGGTATATTATTGAAATAAAAAAAGATTAAGTATTAAAAAATGTTTTCATTAGAATATTCACATATATATATATTTATAAATGGAATTGCATAAAAAAGTTATTCTATATATAGAAAATGATACATACGTTCAATGTGAATTTCTTTTATAATTTAGAATATTTATTAAATAATGTTATATACGTTTATAATTTTTTATAAATTATAAAAATGTTTCAAAAAAAAACAATAATATAAAATTATCCAATATATATATATATTTATTTGAATTAAAATGTTTGCAAATCATAATAAATATTACTTGAGAGCCTTAATAAAAAAATGTTTTTTTAGTACATCTCATTCTTTTTCATCAAAAGATAATATAAAAAAAATTCAGGAATTTCGTAAATTAACAAATTTATCTTTCGGCATTTGTAAAAATGTTTTAAATAAAAATAATTATAACATTGAGAATAGCATAAATTATATTTTTCAAAACTTTAGAACAAATTTTGAGAATAAAAAAAAGGAATTAACGGAGGGATATTATTGCTTAAAGTTGAAGAATAATCAGATAGGATTAATTGAGTTAAATTGTTACAATGATTTAATTTCTGAAAATATATTTTTTAAAGAATTATTAGTTAATTTATGTAACAACTTAATAGAAGGTTGTACAAGTAAAAAAATAAGTAAAGAATATTGGGATAAGGAAAATATTCCTCATTATTTACATCTTTTTTATAAAGATAATAAAACGAATGTTGACAAAAAGTTGGAAAATGTTAATGATACAAATATTTTTAAACATATTTATTTTAATAGAAGCATTAATCAATTAATTAACTACACATCATTAATTTTAAATGACTATATATTTTTAAGAAAATATCTAACACTTAATTTAGATAATATACATAAAGAGAACGCATATATAATAAAAAATTATTACTATCATAAAGAATTAAGAATAGAAGATTTTATTTTGTGTAAGGGATTTTCATTTGCATTTTTATTTATTAAATCAAAAATAGATATTTCTGAAAATACGAAACACATTTTAGAAAAATTATCTTTTCTTATATGTGTAAATATATTAATGTATAAACCAAATTACTGCTCAATATCATATGAATTTAATATTTTTGAATGTTTTAAACCATATTTCAACAGTTCTTATACTAAATTTTTGGGATCAAAAGAAAATAAAAGGATAAATGAATTAAGTATGGAACAACTAGGAGAAATAGACAATAATAAACAAAATGTAGAAAATACTGATGACTTAATGAAAAAAAATGTTCAAGCAATTCATATATTAAGTGATTGCCTAGAGAAAGGAAATTATAAAACACTAAACTCACTTAAAAAGAAAAATATAACATTTTTTGAACTAATTACATTATTAGAAGAGGAATTAAATATAAAAATTTATACTAAAATAATATATTCTTTACTTAACGAAGATATTATTATTTTATAGATGTGTAATTTTTTCCCTTTTTCTTAAAATTTAAGAATGATAACAAGAAATGTATAATTTTCTAGTGTCAATCCCTTTATTTATTTGATACATTTTTATTAAAACTTTTTTTTTTATTTTTAAAATTAAAAGAAATTAAAATGTTTTGTCACATGTAATATTATTTAACAAATTAATTAAAATTTTAAAATATATCGTAACAATAAATGTTTAAATATAAAAATTTTTTTATTAAAGAAGAAACCATATTTTTACAAAAAAAAAAAAAAAAAAAAGGAAAAAGAAAAAAAGTGAAACTTAAAAAAAACAATGGTAATAAAAGAAAAGAATAACTAAATAAAGAAATAAAAAAATTTAAAGATATAATTTAAAAAATTAAAAAAAATTTATCATATATATGTAAATTTTAAAATCATAAAATAATATTAAATTATACAAAGTTTCAAATACTATAAAAATTTTAAATAATTTTTATTTTTTCTTTGATTTTTTAAATATTACTTTTATAATCATTGATTAAACACAATAAAGCTTTGATAGTTTTATTTTTCTTATAAGTTTATATTTTTGTTGACAAAATTTGCCTTCAATGAATCAACAACTAATTCATTTTTATTTTTATAAATTATAATGTCTTTTAATTCATCTTTTATATATTAATTCTTATAATCAATATATATAGAATTTTTTTCTCTTTGAGAAATTAGATTATTTAAGTAAGATGTATTAAAACAATTATTTGTCTCAATTAAATTGTCTGATACATTTATGTCTTTATTTATTAAAAAGGAATTAAAAAAGGTATTTTTTTTATTTAAAAAGTTATTTGTTTCTTTATTAATTGAATTATTCCTATCTAATATTTTTTTTAATAAATCATTTTTTATATTTAAATTTGGTTTTTCTTTATTTTCAGAAGGATTAATATTGTTTTGGCTTAATAAATATTTTTTCTCCCTTTTCTCATAATCACTACTACATTTTTTATCTTTAAAATAATCAAAACTGTTGTACGATTTCTTCAGAAAATTATTTTTTATGTTAATTTTTTTTTCATTTCCTCTTTTAATTTCTTCATGTATTATTTTCGTTTCTTCTTCTAATTCAACTTTTTTTTTATCTTCCATTTCATTTTTTATTTCTTTTTTTTTTTTAATAGTTTTTTCATTTACTTCACATTTTTTATCTAGTTGATTGTCATATATATTAAATGAATTATTCTTTATTAAAACATTTGATATCTGCTCATGTTCTAAAACCTTTTTATTTGTAATGTTTATTTGATTGTTTTCTTTTATTTTGTTTTTTTCTATTTCATCTATTAATGTATCATTATTCGAAATTTTTTTGTTTATTATTCCAATGTTAATGTTATATTTTTTGCTAAAATTTTTATAATTCTGTTTATCACTATCATTTCTACTAGAATTGGTTTCATTATAATAATCACTATTATTAGTATTATTAATACAATTACTATTATAATGTATGTCATCGTTATCATTACATTTTAACAAATCATTTTCTGTCTTTTTTCTGTTTAAAATGTTAAAATTAAGAGAGAAATTTTTATTTATTTTTTTTAAATTGCATTTAGAATTATTGCTAAATGTAAAATTATCGTTGCTAAACGATTTATCTTTAAAATCAATTCTATTATTTAAATTTAAATGATCCAACTTTTTAATATAATGATCATAATTTTTATTATTAAAAACACAATCATTAGAATAAGGATAATGATAATTAATGGTATCACTTTTTTTTTTATTCTCAAAACTTTTATAAGTAACTTTATTATTAAAAATAAAATTTTTATGAGGAGTATAATTGTTAATAGAATATTTATTTCCAATACTTCGTATACTTGGAGATGTAGTAAAATCATCAAAACTTTTTATCATTTCATTCTCAAATAAAGAATGATTAGAAAATAAAAATTCCTTTTCTTCAGAATGACAATCAGAGATATTATCTATGTTATTACAACTGTTATCCTTAATAAATAAATCATTATACTCAAAAAAATTATGTTCCTTTTTATTATTCTGCATATTTTGATTAAATATTTTATTTTTGATATAATCATAATTCAATTTGTCTCTATTAAGTAATTTATTGGTGAAATAACTATAATTATCTAAATGAAAATTATTTTCAGAATATTTAATTTTATCACTTGTATTAAGTTTTTTTATTTCATCATTTGTATGTTTTTTTTCATTTTTTTTTTCTATATTATCATTATTTAAAGCTACATTATCTTTATATTTATTTGACATTTTTACTTTATGCTTACAAATGGTGCATGCATATTTTTCTTTTCTTATGTTTAGGTTTTTTGAAAATGTTAAAAGATCTTCACCGCTATAATTTTCTAATTTAAATAAATATTTATCGCAATACATACATTGTATATAATTGTTATCATTCAATATATGTATTTTTAACTTATGTAATTTTTCTATAATTTTGTCTAATTTTTCTATATTAATAATGCTATTAGATAAATTATTGAGAGTATCATTTTCATGTGTATTAGGCATTTCATACATATAATCAAAGTTATGAAGAAAATTTTCAGTATCATAATAATTATTATTTAAATTTTTATAACTTCTATAACTTAAATTACCTTTGTAACTTTGTTGAATCATTTCATCCTCATCATATTTACAATTTTTTTCAGAAAATTCGTCATTATAATTAAGAGATTTTTTATAAGACTCATTTTCAGAAAAATTGCAATTTTTCTTATCATAAATATTGCAGAAATTCGATAATTTTATATTTATATTTTCATTATTATCAGATTTTAATTTTTTTAAATTATATCTGTTATTTTTTTGTGAAATTAAATAATTTTCATTTTTTTCATTTAACGAATTAGTAGAACTATTGAGTTCACTAAATGTCATATCATTTTTTTTTAAAAAAAAATTATTTTTGTCTTTACCCTTCAAAATACTATATGTATTTGGATATGCTTTATTAATTAAATTATCTGATGCATTCATATTAAAATAGCAATCGTAATTCTCATTTTTTGAAAAATTTAAAAAATTTAATTCATTAAAATTTTTTCTATAATTATCAAAATTAATTGTTTCGAATGACTCTAATCTATTGTTTTCATTATTAACAGGAGAAGAATTTATGTTATAATATATTCTTTCATTTTCTAGTAATACTTTTTCTTTATTTTTTTTGTCATCATGAGAATTAATTTTATATGAATCATTTATTTGTTCTTTTGCAATATTTCTTTTTTTGTTTTTTTCAGAACCCATATTTTTATATATAGTTTCTTTATATTGATCATTCACAGGAGTTAAAGGAAAGCACGTGTTTTCACTATAATCAATTAAATTTTTTCGTAAAAATGTTGAATCAATATAATTATTGTTATAAATTCCATTTAAATCATAATTATCGTTACCCTTTTTATAATTTAAAATATTATTTTTCTCCAAATACTTTTTTAAGTTTATATTGTTTATATCAATATCATTATTAATAAGAAAATTTTTATCAACTTCTTCTTGTATTTCTTTATCATTTATATTATCAACCATTTTATTAATAGTACAATTTTTATTTGAATTATTTATAAAAATTTTATCAAACATTCTATTTTTATCATTATTGATATCATATATAATTCCTCCTTTATTCTTCATATATTGTTCCTTAACTAATTCCTTAAACTCATTCGTATTTTTTTCTACCTCTACTTCCTTTATATAACTCTTTGAAATATTTTTTTTTTGCTCTATTTTTTCAGTTGAAATTTTCAATAATTTTTTTTTATTTTCATCATCTCTTTTTTTTTCTTTTATTTGTTCCTCACATTTAGGGCTATTTATATTCATCTCCTTTTTATTATTTTTCTTAAGAGTTTCTTTCTTATAATAAGGGATATTCATATTTTCATTATATGAGTTATTTAGTATACAAAAATTTTTACTTTCATTCTTATTTTCAGTTTTATCATACTTGTTTTCATAACTATTAAAGTGAGATTCTTCTCCTTCTATATTATCCTTTTTATATTTATTTGTATTATGTATAATTTGATTATCTAATTCTTGTAAATTTAAGCTACCAATTTTTTCTTTTTCCTTAATATTTTTATTATAAAATTTAAAAAAATTATTAGATTCGTCACAATTAATTGAATTTATAATAAAGTCATCATTATTTGATGATATGAAAGTATTTTTTTTGTATGAATTAAAAATGTTATTATTTGATACTGGCTCATAGTTTACAGAAATATTATTTTTCTCACAATTATTTGTATCTTCTAATTTAAAATTATTTTTAGCATCAAATGGATTAATTGAATTATGTATGCTGATTATATTTTTTTCTTTAAAAGATTCATCATAAAATTTTTCACATATTGAACTTTTATTTAATAAATTAAAATTATCCAAATGATATATTATTTTATTTACATTATCATTCTTAGTTTTAGCATTAATATCATCATAAATATTATAACCTATGCATTTCTTTTTGTTCTCTTTATTTTTTTTAGAGTTTAAATAACAGTTATTCATTTTATCATTAATTATTTTATTTTTTATATATTTCATTTTCTCTTCCTTTACATTATTTTTTATATTTAATTTGTTATTTAAATTAGAATATAAATTAATTTTGTTATTATCTCTAGTACTATTATTAATAAAGCTATATTTATTACTTGTACTTTTAACCTCTGTAGTATAATTATCATTTTCTTTATTAATAAAACATTTCTCATTATTATTATTATTTTCTACAATAATAGAAGGTTTTTCCTCATGAATTGAAGTGTTATTATCATCATTAATATTAAGATTTTCATTAATACAATAATTTATATTATTCTTTAAAACACCATAAGAGCAATTTTTAACATTATTACTATTGTAAAAATTGTTGTATTCTTTATTTGTTTGATTAAAAAAATTCAAACTATTACTACTGCTTTTTTTCTCTAATTTATAAACATTTTCATTTGATTTATTAATAAATTTTGAAATATTCTTAAGTTGTCTAGAAAAATAATTTTTTTTTATATTTATTAAGTTAAAATAATATTTTTTATTTTTAAATGGAAGTAAAATTTTTTTGTAATCGTTACTATTCTCATAACAATTTATAAATATTTTTTTTTTATTATTAAAAAACGAAATTGCATAATTCTTTATAATGTTATTTATTAAACTATTAGAATTAAAACTATTATTTCTTTTCAAATTTTTTCTATAAAATAATATATATTTAAATGGTTTTATTCTAAAATAATATTTGTAAATATTTCCTAGAGGCACATCATATAAATAACTATGCTTAAAATTATTATTTTTTTTTACCTTTTTCCACTCATTTTTTGTGAAAATTTTTTTTTCTTCTTTGTTTAAAACATTTTTAAATTTTTTCTTATTTCTAATATTTATAAAATTATTCGTTTTTTCTTTTTTTTTATTTACTTCAGAATTATTTTTTATATAATTTATATTGTTGTATCTAAGATCTAAGATATTTTTCTCATACATATTTTTTTCATCTATTTTATTATAATTCTCTATTGAGTTTTTTTTCAAATTGTTATTTGTTTTAAAAATATTACTTTTTTTATATAAGGAACTTTTTTTAATTTTTTCTAAACATTTTTCAATTTCCTTTATTCTTCTCTTGGCTTTAATATAGATACTCATAGTATCTATCTTATTAGCATAAATTTTAATTAAATTTTCTTTTTTTTTTTTAAAACCATTTTCCCCATTATTTACATATGGGTAGTTATTTTCTTCACATGAATTATACATTTTACTATCTTTTAAGATATAATTATTTAATGGATTCAAAAATTTTTTAAAATAATTTTTATCCTTTTTAAATTCCTCATTAACATATATGTCATTTTTATATTTCTCAAATTTATATATATTATTATTGATATTAATCCTTAAGCATTTTAAGTAATGATATTCTTCTAATAACAAAATTTTTAGTTTATTCTTGTATCTTTTATAAAAAGACAATATCTCCATAAGTATTTTTTTTTTACTTTTATATTTGTTGTTACTGTCATTTTTAAGAAGTATATCTTCTTGATCATTATGTTTAAGTTTATTTTTATCTTTATGTATATATTTAGTATTTTTCTTATATTTTTTTCTATTAAACATTTCATTTCTTTTTTCATTTGTCTCAAATGATGAATAAATACTCGATAAATCATCAATAATATTTTTTCTTATTTCTTCATAATTATTCAAGTTGAAATTATCTAATGGTATTGTATTTTTTTTTATATTCTCACATTTTTCAATGGAAGATTTTCTATTTATAAAATTAGACTTATTTACATAATTATATATTTTGTGATTTAATAAATCTGATTTATTCGAATTCATAACATAACTTTTAGAATTATTTAAATTTATCATATTATCATTTGATAAATTATGAGATAATTTTTCTTCACTTGAATTCCTCAGAGAGCAATTTATATCTGATTTTATTCCCTTATACAGTTTATCTTTTTTATCTCTTTTTACAGTTAATTTTTTATCATTCCCATAATATGCACTTTCCATTTCTCCATTGCTAATCATATGTTCGACAAATTTATCTTCATTTAATTTTTCTTTTAGGTTATTTTTAATTATTTCTTTTAAATGACTATTAACCGTAGTAAACTTACATTTATTTGTTTTATGCAAATCTTCTTTCATTATATTATTATTATTATTATTATTATTATTAATGTAATTGATGTTAACATTATTATGAATTCTGCATTCCTTTAATACATTATCATTATATTTAATCTTATCTTTACTATTTTTTTCAGGATCAAAATTCTTTGAATTGTTCCGACTACATTTAATACACAAATAAGATTGATAGTTGTTGAGATTTTCTCTTGTATTATTAAAACCTTCTTCACTTATCCTACTTCTTATGTTTTCCATATTTCTATATAAATATTTTTTAAATATATTAATATGTTTTTCTATATTTTTTTTTTTATATTTTTTTAGAGTAGAAAAATGAATGTTAATTTTTTTTTTTTTTTTTTTTAAAACTAAAGTTTGAAATTTATTGAAAGGAGACTCACTTAATTTACATAAAAGTTTTTCTTTTAATGGATTTTTAATATAACTTACTTTTTTAGAATAATATTTTTCTTTCCTCTTTTTATCAAAAATATCTTTATTAAGTAAAATTTGATTAGGAGAGTTGCACTTATTTTTAAAAATAAAATCATTGTTGTTCTTTAAGTTATCTATATAATTATCAAACATTTTAAAATATAATTTTCTTCCTTTCAAACTACTGAATTTATTATTCTTATTTTTTTTGGAAGCATAAGAATATATTTTACAAAAATGTTGATAAGAATATTCTTTATTTTTTCTCTCATTTTTAAATTTTCTCATTCTTTCTTTATTACTCATGTAAAAATTTCCACATCCTATTTTATAATTATCAATACAAAAGCATTTATTATTATTTATATTGTTATAATTACAATTTATATCGTTTTCATTATTTAATGTATTATTATTAGTTTCATACGTATTCTTTTTTACTATTTTTTTTTTTTTATTATGAATTTTTTTCTCTTTAAATTTTTTATACGATATATTTTCAATTTTATATTTCTTTTCTTTATCATCATCATTATTTTTAATATAAGAATTATAGTTACTATTTTGTTCACAATTCATAAAATGCTTTTTGGAATTTATATTTAAGTATTCATTTACATTATTATTCAAGTTACCTAGTATGTTTTCTTTTCTATATTTTTTTTCTACCTCATGTTTTTCTTCTTTATCATTTTTTTCTTTCATCTCATCTTTTATTTCCTCCTTATATTCTTCTTCCTTTCTTTCTTCTTTATCATTCTTTTCTTTCTTCTCATCTTTTTTTTCCTCCTTATATTCTTCTTCCTTTCTTTCTTCTTCTTCTTCTTCTTCTTCATTTTTTTCTTTCTTTTCATCTGTTTCTTCTTGTTCTTCTATTTCTTCCTTTATTTCATTACTATTTTTAAAATTAGGATGCATAACATTTAAATTTTTATTTTTATGATTGTTAAAGTTTTCGGAACTTTCATTTTCGGAACTAAATGAAATGCTATGGATACTTTGAGAATTATAATTTTTATTTTTAAATTTTAAATTTGAAATTATTTGCTTATTATCATCTAAAACTTTTTTCAATTCAATAACAGACTCACTTAAATGATTTTTTTTAACATTATTAAGATTTTTATTTTTTATTTTTTTATTTTTGTTTTTTATTTTTTCCTCTGTAATGTTTTTAAATATTCTTTGAAATAATTTACTGTTATAGGAAAGTAAATTATCTTGATTATCTTCTTTATTCATAAAAAAAATATTATCATTTCTATGTTTATTATCTAAGTTTTTATTCTCTCTCAATTTTTTATTTATAAAAATACTTGTGTTTTTATTAACTTCATTTGGGTTTTCTTTAAAATTACTTTCTTTATCCTTCTTTTTTAAAAAATTATGAGATACTGTTTGAATATCACATTTTTCTCTTAAATGTGTAAAATCTTTATAAATTGGTTTATCATTTGTTTTTAATTTTGCTCCATATTTTTGTATTTCTCTTATATTTTTTTTAGATTCAGCTAATTCATTTACTAAACTTTAAATAAAAAAAAAAAAAAAAAAAAATGTATATATTTGATGAAGTTATAATTATATAATAAAAACAGTATATAATAAAACTTTATTATATATATTGATCAAACATATATTTATTTGTAACTATGTAATAACCTAACATATACATATTATTTTTACTGATTATGTAAAATTTTATATATTTTTATATAAAATGTATATATGTATTTAAATAAGATATACATATAACATAATGAAAATTGAATAAATTGAAAATTTTATATTTTTTTTATTTTTTGAAACATATATGCATTTAAACAAATTATTAATATTTATTTTTTTCTATGATATATTTTCATACTTTTCTAAATTTTTATCTTGAGTGGGAGTTAACGAAAAATGTTTCTGTATGTGCATATTACATTGAAACAAAAATTTTAACTAATGTAAATATCATTCCTACATATATTAAAGACTTTACACAATTTTATCTTATTATATTTTTATGTATATTTTTCTTTTTTTTATTTTTGTCTTTTTACTTTTATTTTTAATATTTTTATTTTTATTTTATTTTTTTTGTTTATCAAAATATTAAATTCATTTAGATATCATTTTATTTGCGTATCTCCAAATTTTTGTATTTATAAAAATATTAAATTCTTTAGAATAATTTTAAAATTCATTTCCTCTTAAGGAATACATTAAAACGATAATAGTTATATATATATATATATATACAGTTAAATTTTAAATACAGTGGCTTTTTAAATAAATTTTGTATATTTTTTAATATAATTTTAAATATGCTATAATATTTGTTTATCTTTTTAATAAATACATTTTTAAAATTACTTGAAAGATATTGAAACTGTATTACTAAAATTATAAAAAATTTATATATTTTGTTCAATTAGTAACATATAACAAATAAAAATATATTGTATATATATTTATATATTTGGTTCAGTAAATAATTTTTTATTATAATTATTATGTTAAATGTAAAAAAAAAAAAAAAAAAATAAAATAAAATAAGATAAGATAAAATATATATTATTTAGGAAAATTAAAAAAGAAAATAAAATTTTTACATATAAAAAAAAAAATGAAATGAAATGCGAACAATATAAGTTTTCTTGATAAATTACACATGAACTAAATAAAAAAACATTTATTTTTTCCTTTTAATCACAAATAATATTTAAGTAAAATATTAATATATATTTTAAACTATCAAATATTAAAGCAATTTTTAAAGAAAAAAAATTCATTTCATATGAATTATAATATAATTTTTATTTTACAATGATACTAGAATTGGTACAAAAAAAAAAAAAAAAAATGTGTTTTCAATTACATATGAATTTTATTTTCTGTAAACATAAAATTGGTATACATTATATATTCAATGCAAGAAAATTATTTGTTCATAATTTTTATATTTTAGTAATTCATTTTCTTTTATATTATAAATTAAAATTATCATTAATAAGAAAATAATAAATTTCCAATCTTTAAAAATATTTGTTCTTAAATATTTAAAATATATATAAATTTCTTAGATATACTATTTTTATATTATGGCTAGAAAAAAATAAATTAGGACACGATATTTTGTTCATTTATTTTTGTTCACTGTCTATTTTTTATTTTTTTCTGAAGAAAATAATATGTTATCCATTAATATCCTTTTAAACATATTGAACTATATTTATATATATATATATATAAGGATAAATAAAAGTAATATTTTTTATTATCTAAAAATAATTTCAAAAATTTTAGATACAATACATTTACATATTACATATGTATTTATGACCAACTTTCATCATTGTATCCAATTTCACCACCTATAATATCCCTTCCTTTCTCTTCGCATAATAAAGTATCTGAATTACCTTGAAATTCTAAATTATTTAAATTTTCATTTTCCTCAAAATTATTACTATGATACTTTTTGAAATAATACATAACTCCTAAAGCTATTATAGTTCCAGCTAAAGTGGACATACCTGCATATTTTATTGCTTTAACATAATTGAATTTACCTTTTTTATTTTCATTTCCATTTTCATGTTCATTTTGGTTTTTACTTTCATTTAACGTATGTGCTATATCTTTTTGAAGTTGTTCATCTAAAAGTTTATGAACTTCATTAGACATATTTTTTGGGAAAGGATTCACCTCATCATTTGAATCTATGATAAAATTATTCTGACCAACAATAATAATTTTGTTAGGTTCAATTTTTCCATTTTTTGACTTTTTATAAAGTAATTTATGAATACTCTTTGTATCTGCGTAATATTTATATGGATATTCATTTTTACTATTTGGTACCATTTTCCTATGTTCTACATAATCACTAAGGGTTTCTAGTTTTTCATTTATATTATCATTAATTTTTTTGCCATTACTTTCGTTATTATATTCTTTTATGACGTCATCAATTAAGTTATTAATATTTCTTTCTTCTTTATGTTCGGTTGCTAATTTAAGTTTATTGGATTCTCCTTGTGATGATTTCTCCTCTATATCTTTTATAAATGTGGAATCTGAATTTTTATCAATGTTACCTGATAGTTCATTATTATATTCTATGTCATTATTCTTATGTGACATACCATCTATTTTTTCTTTTATTTTTACTTCATTTTCCTTTTCAGGCTGTTTAGAAGTATTTTTTATTACATGACCTTCACTTTTATTATCTATTTCTTTTTTTTCATGTGATGATATACTGACACTTTCATTATCATCTTCATTATTATTACGATTTTTTATATCTATTTTTTCTATATCAACTACATTTGCATCATTTTGATCTATGGTATTAACTAATTTATTTTGTTTTACAGGAGTTTCTTTACTTTTTTTTTCACTTCCTATTTTATCAACAACTATATCTTCATTTATCTCACTATTTTCCTTTTGACTCTCATCTTCATTTTTATTTATATTATCATTTGATGCATGATCTTCCATATTTATATTTTCTTCTCTTTCTATTTGATCTTCATCTTTCTTTATATCTAAAGAATGTTTTATTTCATTAGATTTTTCATTATCTTCATTTTCCTTATCAATATGTTTATTTGGACTTTGATTTTTATTACTTACTGTTTCATCATCAGTTGGATATTTGTCATTTGGTTTTTTATATTCTTCACTAATTAATTTCTGATTTTTTCCATTAGTATCGTCTAAATATTTATTTGCATCTATATTATCACTAAATTTCTCATTTATCGGGTCACTTTTTAGCTGATCGGCATTTTCTTTTTCACCTGGTATTTGATATTCTTTAACATTTTCATCTGATATTTCATGTTTTTTAATAGTTTCATCTTGTATTTTATGTTCCCTAATGCTATTATCTAATAGTTTATTTTCTCTTATTGTTTCAATTGATGGTTGAAGTTTTGTAGTATTTTCTTCAGGAAATTTATGTTCATTTAGTGATCCACTTAATGTTTTATTTATTTCACTTATATTGGTATTATTTGCTTGATTTTTATTGTGTGTTAATCGCATTTCATTTTGATCACCATAAATTGTTTCACCTTTATTATTTTCTCCACTTTCATCTATATCTGGTAGTTTATCTCCATTCACATATCTGTCAGGCGATTGATATCCATTTATCAGTTTATTAGGTAAATAATATTTGATTGTCATTTCATCTAATTTTTCAAGTTCTTCATTTATATTAGCATCATTTGTTTGATTATTTTTGTGTATTGAAAAACTTCCAGTTTCTTCATAATTAATGGTTTCTTTTTTTTTTTCTTTATTTGTTTCTGTATGTAGTGTATCATGCTCACCTACTTCTCTTGGAGTTTGATCTCCTTTATTTATATCATATTTAAGTTCTTCATTTTCATTAGATACGATGTAATTTTTTGTTTGAACTTCGTTTTTTTGTTGTTTTTCCTCATCTTCATTCATTTCTTTTTTTCCTAGTAATTGATGGTTTACTATTTCTTCATCATGAATTTTTTTTTTACTTATTTCAGTATGCATATTGTCTTTTTCTGAATCTATTTTTTTATCAATTTCTTCATCTTTTCCTATGTTTTCTTTTAGTCCATTTTTTTCTTTGTTTATTTTAGTTGGAGTAATATATTCTTTTTTTATTATATCACTATCCTTATGATTCTCATGAATTGTCTTTTGATTTTCTTTCATATAATCTTCTTCATGCTTATGAATTTCCATATCATTAGAATCTTTACTTTCACTATCTGAAATAGAATTAATTTTATGATCATTATCACTTTGTTTACTTTCTGTTGGATTTTTAGGCAGATTTTTACTTGGTATATTGTATATATTTTCTCCTAATACTTGGTTTTCATCATCTATATTTTTATCATCAATTTTATGTTCATTTATTTTATTATTTGTCTCTCTATATATATCTACATTTTCTAATGTAATATTTTTTTCAGTTTTTTCTTTATCTGGCAATTGATGATTGCTTGAGGTATCATTTGATATTTTATCATTGTCATATACACTAGGACCACTAATTTGATTTTTATTAGATATATTATGATGTTTTGAATGATCATTATGAAATATTTCTTCTTCTTTATCATCATCATTGTTCATTTTTTTATCTTGTTTTCCATGTTCTCTTGTTTCTTCACTGATTTCTTGTTTTTCTCCATCGATATTATCACTAGTTATTTGATGTTCATAAGTTAATTTATCATTCTTGTTTTGATCAGAATGGAATATTTCTTCTTCTTTATCATCATCATTTTTCATTTTTTTATCTTGTTTTCCATATTCTCCTGTTTCTTCACTGATTTCTTGTTTTCCATGTTCTTTTGTTTCTTCAATGATTTCTTGTTTTCCTCCATTCATATTATCACTAGATATTTGGTCTTCATTAGATAATGAATCATTCTTATTTTGATCATTATTAATTGTTTCTTTTGTTATATCATTTTCATTTATTTTTTCAACTTGTGAATTAAGATCTTTTGTTGTTTTACTGATTTCTTGTTTTTCTCCATTGATATTACCATCAGTTTGATGTTTATTAGTTAATGTATCATTATTATTTTGATCAAAATGAAATATTTCTTCTTCTTCATCATCATCATTTTTCATTTTTTTATCTTGTTTTCCATATTCTCCTGTTTCTTCACTGATTTCTTGTTTTCCAAGTTTTTCTGTTTCTTCGTTGATTTCTTGTTTTCCATGTTCTTTTGTTTCTTCATTGATTTCTTGTTTTCCTCCATTCATATTATCACCACTTTGATGTTCATTAATTAATGTATCATTCTTGTTTTGATCAGGATGAAAAGTTTCTTCTCCTTTATCATCATCATTATTCATTTTTTTATCTTGTTTTCCATGTTCTTTTGTTTCTTCATTGATTTCTTGTTTTCCTTCCTCGATATTATCATAGGTTTGATGTTCATTAGTTAATTTATCATTCTTGTTTTGATCAAAATGAAATATTTCTTCTTCTTTATCATAATCATTGTTCATTCTTTTATCTTGTTTTCCATGTTCTCTTATTATTTTACTAATTTCTTTATTTATTCCATTAATATTATCATAAGTTATTTGGTCTTCATTAGATAATGAATCATTATTATAATGATCGATATGAATTGTTTCTTTTTTTGTATCATTTTCATTTATTTTTTCAACTTGTGAATTAGGATCTTTTGTTGTTTTACTGATTTCTTGTTTTCCAAGTTTTTCTGTTTCTTCACTGATTTCTTGTTTTTCTCCATCGATATTATCATAAGTTTGATGTTCATAAGTTAACTTATCATTCTTGTTTTGATCAGAATGAAATATTTCTTCTTCTTTATCATCATCATTTTTCATTTTTTTATCATGTTTTCCATGTTCTTCTGTTTCTTCACTAATTTCTTGTTTTCCATGTTCTTTTGTTTCTTCATTGATTTCTTGTTTTCCTCCATCGATATTATCACTTATTTGATGTACATTAGTTAATGAATCATTATTATCTTGATCGTTATTAATTGTTTTCTTTGTTATATCATTTTCATTTATTTTTTCATCTGGTGAATTAGGATCTTTTATAGTTTTACTAATTTCTTGTTTTCCATGTTCTTCTGTTTCTTCACTAATTTCTTTTTTTCCATGTTCTTTTGTTTCTTCATTGATTTCTTGTTTTTCTCCATTCATATTATCACTAGATATTTGGTCTTCATTAGATAATGAATCATTCTTATATTGATCGTTATTAATTGCTTCTTGTGTTATATCATTTTCATTTATTTTTTCAACTTGTGAATTAGGATCTTTTATAGTTTTACTGGTTTCTTGTTTTCCTCCATTCATATTATTACTATTTTGATGTTCACTAGTTAATGTATCATTATTATTTTGATCAATATGAAATATTTCTTCTTCTTTATCATCATCATTTTTCATTTTTTTATCTTGTTTTCCATGTTCTCCTGTTTCTTCAATGATTTTTTGTTTTACATGTTCTTCTGTTTCTTCACTGATTTCTTGTTTTCCTCCATCGATATTATCATAAGTTTGATGTTCATAAGTTAACTTATCATTCTTGTTTTGATCAGAATGAAATATTTCTTCTTCTTTATCATCATCATTGTTCATTCTTTTATCATGTTTTCCATGTTCTTTTGTTTCTTCATTGATTTCTTGTTTTCCTCCATTCCTATTATCACCACTTTGATGTTCATAAGTTAATTTATCATTCTTGTTTTGATCCGAATGAAATGTTTCTTCTTTATCATCATTATTCATTTTATTATCTTTTTTTCCATGTTCTTCTGTTTCTTCACTGATTTCTTGTTTTCCTCCATCGATATTATCACTTATTTGATGTACATTAGTTAATGAATCATTATTATCTTGATCGTTATTAATTGTTTTCTTTGTTATATCATTTTCATTTATTTTTTCATCTGGTGAATTAGGATCTTTTATAGTTTTACTAATTTCTTGTTTTTCTCCATCGATATTACCATCAATTTGATGTACATTAGTTAATGAATCATTATTATTTTGATCGTTATTAATTGTTTTTTTTGTTATATCATTTTCATTTATTTTTTCATCTGGTGAATTAGGATCTTTTATAGTTTTACTAATTTCTTGTTTTTCTCTATCGATATTATCATAAGTTTGATGTTCATTAGTTAATTTATCATTCTTGTTTTGATCAAAATGAAATATTTCTTCTTCTTTATTGTCACCATTGTTCATTTCTTTATCTTGTTTTCCATGTTCTCTTATTATTTTATCGATTTCATTATTTACTCCACTCACATTATCACTAGTTTTTTGATGTTCATTAATTAATGTGCCTTTCTTATTTTGATCGTTATTAATTGTATCTTTTGTAGTATCATTTTCATTTATTTTTACAACTTGTGAATTAGGATCTTTTGTTGTTTTACTGATTTCATGTTTTCCTCCATTCATATTATCACCACTTTGATGTTCATTAGTTAATTTATCATTCTTTTTTTGATCAGAATGAAACGTTTCTTCTATATCATCATCATTTTTCATTTTTTTATCTTGTTTTCCATGTTCTCTTATTATTTTATCGATTTCATTATTTACTCCACTCACATTATCACTAATTTTTTGATGTTCATTAATTAATATGCCTTTCTTATTTTGATCGTTATTAATTGTTTCTTTAGTTATATCATTTTCATTTATTTTTTCATCTTGTGAATTAGGATATTTTGTTTCTTTACTGATTTCTTGTTTTCCATGTTCTCTTGTTTCTTCACCGATTACTTGTTTTCCTCCATTCATATTATCACCACTATGATGTTCATTAATTAATGTATCATTCTTGTTTTGATAAGAGTGAAATGTTTCTTCTTTATCATCATCATTTTTCATTTTAATATCTTGTTTTCCATGTTCTTCTGTTTCTTCACTGATTTCTTGTTTTCCGTGTTCTTTTGTTTCTTCATTGATTTCTTGTTTTCCTCCATTCATATTATCACCACTTTGATGTTCATTAATTAATGTATCATTCTTGTTTTGATCAGGATGAAATATTTCTTCTTCTTTATCATCATCATTGTTCATTTTTTTATCATGTTTTCCATTTTCTCTTATTATTTTATCGATTTCTTGTTTTCCATGTTCTTTTGTTTCTTCATTGATTTTTTGTTTTCCTCCATCGATATTATCATAAGTTTGATTTTCATTAGTTAATTTATCATTCTTGTTTTGATCAAAATGAAATATTTCTTCTTCTTTATCATCATCATTTTTCATTTTTTTATCTTGTTTTCCATGTTCTTCTGTTTCTTCACTGATTTCTTGTTTTTCTCCATCGATATTACCATCAGTTTGATATTTATTAGTTACTGTATCATTATTATTTTGATCAAAATGAAATATTTCTTCTTCTTTATCATCATCATTGTTCATTTTTTTATCATGTTTTCCATTTTCTCTTATTATTTTATCGATTTCTTGTTTTCCATGTTCTTTTGTTTCTTCATTGATTTTTTGTTTTCCTCCATTCATATTATCACCACTATGATGTTCATTAATTAATGTATCATTCTTGTTTTGATAAGAGTGAAATGTTTCTTCTTTATCAACATCATTTTTCATTTTTTTATCTTGTTTTCCATGTTCTTCTGTTTCTTCACTGATTTCTTGTTTTTCTCCATTCATATTATCACCACTTTGCTGTTCATAAGTTAATTTATCATTCTTGTTTTGATCAGAATGAAATGTTTCTTCTTTATCATCATTATTCATTTTATTATCTTGTTTTCCATGTTCTTCTGTTTCTTCACTGATTTCTTGTTTTTCTCCATCGATATTACCATCAGTTTGATGTTTATTAGTTAATGTACCATTATTATTTTGATCAGAATGAAATATTTCTTCTTCTTTAACATCATCATTTTTCATTTTTTTATCATGTTTTCCATGTTCTTCTGTTTCTTCACTAATTTCTTGTTTTCCATGTTCTTTTGTTTCTTCATTGATTTTTTGTTTTCCTCCATCGATATTATCATAAGTTTGATGTTCATAAGTTAACTTATCATTCTTGTTTTGATCCGAATGAAATGTTTCTTCTTTATCATCATTATTCATTTTATTATCTTGTTTTCCATGTTCTTTTGTTTCTTCATTGATTTCTTGTTTTCCGTGTTCTTTTGTTTCTTCATTGATTTCTTGTTTTCCTTCCTCGATATTATCATAGGTTTGATGTTCATTAGTTAATTTATCATTCTTGTTTTGATCAAAATGAAATATTTCTTCTTCTTTATCATAATCATTGTTCATTCTTTTATCTTGTTTTCCATGTTCTCTTATTATTTTACTAATTTCTTTATTTATTCCATTAATATTATCATAAATTATTTGGTCTTCATTAGATAATGAATCATTATTATAATGATGGATATGAATTGTTTCTTTTTTCGTATCATTTTCATTTATTTTTTCAACTTGTGAATTAGGATCTTTTGTTGTTTTACTGATTTCTTGTTTTCCAAGTTTTTCTGTTTCTTCACTGATTTCTTGTTTTTCTCCATCGATATTACCATCAGTTTGATGTTTATTAGTTAATGTATCATTATTATTTTGATCAAAATGAAATATTTCTTCTTCTTTATCATCATCATTTTCCATTTTTTTATCTTGTTTTCCATATTCTCCTGTTTCTTCATTGATTTCTTGTTTTCCTCCATTCATATTATCACCACTATGATGTTCATTAATTAATGTATCATTCTTGATTTGATCAGGATGAAATATTTCTTCTTCTTTATTATCATCATTGTTCATTCTTTTATCATGTTTTCCATGTTCTTTTGTTTCTTCATTGATTTCTTGTTTTCCTCGATCGATATTATCATAAGTTTGATGTTCATAAGTTAATTTATCATTATTGTTTTGATCCGAATGAAATGTTTCTTCTTTATCATCATTATTCATTTTATTATCTTGTTTTCCATGTTCTTTTGTTTCTTCATTGATTTCTTGTTTTCCGCCATCGATATTATCATAAGTTTGATTTTCATTAGTTAATTTATCATTCTTGTTTTGATCAAAATGAAATATTTCTTCTTCTTTATCATCATCATTTTTCATTTTTTTATCTTGTTTTCCATGTTCTCCTGTTTCTTCACTGATTTTTTGTTTTATATGTTCTTTTGTTTCTTCACTGATTTCTTGTTTTCCTCCATTCATATTATCACTAGATATTTGGTCTTCCTTAGATAATGAATCATTATTATAATGATCGATATGAATTGTTTCTTTTTTTGTATCATTTTCATTTATTTTTTCATTTGGTGAATTAGGATCTTTTATAGTTTTACTGATTTTTTGTTTTTCTCCATCGATATTATCACCACTATGATGTTCATTAATTAATATATCATTCTTGTTTTGATAAGGATGAAATATTACTTCTTCTTTATCATCATCATTTTTCATTTTTTTATCTTGTTTTCCATGTTCTTTTGTTTCTTCATTGATTTCTTGTTTTCCTCCATCGATATTATCATAAGTTTGATTTTCATTAGTTAATTTATCATTCTTGTTTTGATCAAAATGAAATATTTCTTCTTCTTTATCATAATCATTGTTCATTCTTTTATCTTGTTTTCCATGTTCTCTTATTATTTTACTAATTTCTTTATTTATTCCATTAATATTATCATAAGTTATTTGGTCTTCATTAGATAATGAATCATTATTATAATGATCGATATGAATTGTTTCTTTTTTTGTATCATTTTCATTTATTTTTTCAACTTGTGAATTAGGATCTTTTGTTGTTTTACTGATTTCTTGTTTTCCAAGTTTTTCTGTTTCTTCACTGATTTCTTGTTTTTCTNTAATATATCATTCTTGTTTTGATAAGGATGAAATATTACTTCTTCTTTATCATCATCATTTTTCATTTTTTTATCTTGTTTTCCATGTTCTTTTGTTTCTTCATTGATTTCTTGTTTTCCTCCATCGATATTATCATAAGTTTGATTTTCATTAGTTAATTTATCATTCTTGTTTTGATCAAAATGAAATATTTCTTCTTCTTTATCATAATCATTGTTCATTCTTTTATCTTGTTTTCCATGTTCTCTTATTATTTTACTAATTTCTTTATTTATTCCATTAATATTATCATAAGTTATTTGGTCTTCATTAGATAATGAATCATTATTATAATGATCGATATGAATTGTTTCTTTTTTTGTATCATTTTCATTTATTTTTTCAACTTGTGAATTAGGATCTTTTGTTGTTTTACTGATTTCTTGTTTTCCAAGTTTTTCTGTTTCTTCACTGATTTCTTGTTTTTCTCCATCGATATTACCATCAGTTTGATGTTTATTAGTTAATGTATCATTCTTGTTTTGATCAGGATGAAATATTTCTTCTTCTTTATCATCATCATTTTTCATTTTTTTATCTTGTTTTCCATATTCTCCTGTTTCTTCACTGATTTCTTGTTTTCCGTGTTCTTTTGTTTCTTCATTGATTTCTTGTTTTCCTCCATTCATATTATCACCACTTTGATGTTCATTAATTAATGTATCATTCTTGATTTGATAAGGATGAAATATTTCTTCTTCTTTATCATCATCATTTTTCATTTTTTTATCTTGTTTTCCATGTTCTTTTGTTTCTTCATTGATTTCTTGTTTTCCTCGATCGATATTATCATAAGTTTGATGTTCATAAGTTAATTTATCATTATTGTTTTGATCCGAATGAAATGTTTCTTCTTTATCATCATTATTCATTTTATTATCTTGTTTTCCATGTTCTTCTGTTTCTTCACTGATTTCTTGTTTTCCGTGTTCTTTTGTTTCTTCATTGATTTCTTGTTTTCCTCCATTAATATTATCACTAGATATTTGGTCTTCATTAGATAATGAATCATTCTTATATTGATCGTTATTAATTGCTTCTTGTGTTATATCATTTTCATTTATTTTTTCAACATGTGAATTAGGATCTATTATTTCTTTACTATTTGCTTGATTTTCTCCATTCAAATGATTTTCGTTTATCAATTTTCCTGATAAATAATATTTGTTTAAAAATTCATCTGATAAGTATTGTCCTCTTATACTTTCATTTTGTTCTGTATTATTTTTTCTTACATTATCGTTGCTAATTTGATGCTCATTTGCTATTTGTTCACTTGGAATTTTATATTTGCTTATATGCTCTATTTCATCTGTATCGTCATCAAATGTATGATGTAATAAGTGATATTTTTCATTTTTATTCTTATTTGAAGTTTCATCGTATTCATTTATTTTGTCATCTGCATATTGATGTTTTTTAAATAACTCTTCAGTTTCCCTATTACCTAGTTCATTTATATCTTCTTTTGATAGCACGTTTGTTTTTTTTTTTTCTTCCGAAACTTGAATATTATGATTTATTAATCCATCTCCTTCTTTATAATTATCTGAATTATTATATTTATTTTTATATTCTTCGATATCCATTCCATATTGGTGTTGATAATCATCTATCCATTCTCCCTCTATGTAATATCCATTTACCCATCTTCCTGGTAACTGATATCCGTTTCGCTCTTTACTGTGTATTCTATTTTTACCTATCCAATTATTTGATAGTTGATTTATTTTCTCAGTTCCAAATGGTAACTCATCTTCTACTATTTCTTCTTTTATTGGATCGACTTTTATCCCATTATCTTCTACATTTTCTGTACCTCTTCTTAGATAATTTTTTTTATTTCCTATTCTTTCTTTTGCACTTTCAATTTGACCTTGTTTATTTAATTTTTCATTTTCTTCTTGATCTTGTGTTTTTCTATAATCACTATAACTTATTCCTTCATTTGATTTATTTCTTTCATCTGTTTCTCCTCCTAATTTTGTATTTTCTTCAGTTATTTCTAAATCATCTTTTTGATCCATACTATTAGTTTCAACGTTTTTTTCATATTCTTGAAGTTTATTATAATCAGGATTTTCATTATATTTTACTTCTGGAGGTAATAAATTAGAATTTATGTTTTTCCTAACATATTCTTGTTTATTTAAATTAAAGTTATCTGATTCATTTATGTTATCTTCATTTTCATCTTGAATTATTTTTTTTTCCTTTTTTTGTTCTTGTTCTTCCTCTATTTTATCCATATCTTCTCTATTTATTTCATTTTGACTTTCATTTTTATCTTCATTTATTTCTTTTTTCTTTTTGTGATCTTCACTTTCCTCAATTTTATGTATATCTTTTTCTTCTGTATCATTTATATTTCTTTCATTTTCATTTTTATCTTCATTTATTTCTTTTTTCTTTTTGTGATCTTCACTTTCCTCTATTTTATGTATATATTTTTCTTCTGTATCATCTATATTTCTTTCATTTTCATTTTTATCATCATATTCGTCATTTATTTTATTTATTTTATCTATTTCTTTTTTATGCATTTTTAAAAGTTCGTACTGTCTTTCTAACATTGATTGTATTTTATTGTCTACTTGTTTTTTTATTTCTATTATTCTTCGTTTATTAGACTGTTCTTCATTTTCTCCTTCTAGATCTTGTTCAATTTTTCTACGTAAAATTCCTTCTATTTCTTCCCTTTCCCTCGTATCGATTATAAGGTTTCTTAATATTTCAGTAAATAATAAATGATCTCCGTTTTCTTTTTGTTCAGATGTACATGGTAGTAAATCATGGCATTCTTCGTAGTTTTCTATTATTTCTCCATATTGAACATAAGGTTTAAATTTATAACCTTTATCACAAATACCTCTGCATTCATATATTTGGCTATTGCAATCTATACGATAATCTTCTTTTATAGCTGTAGTAAAATCAAAAACTCTCCTACAGGTAGGTTTATAATACATACGGAAATTACTAGCTTCACTCATAGTTATTTTAAGAGGAATTTGACGTTCTCTTCTTCTAAATTCACATGGACCAGACCATTCTGACCAATCATTATATCTCGAACAAATAGCTCCATGTTTTAAATGATAACAGAATTTTTTTATTCCAGAAACACTTTTATTATCATATGCTTCATTAACAAAATATGCAATAGGATATTCTACTTCATAATCATATCGAGAATCTGATATGAGATGAATTTTGTCTCTACTAAATGGACTATCCGACGTAAAAAAGAATATACCTACATTTTTACTTCTAATTTCTCTTATATAATTTATTAACTCATCTGAATAATTAGATAAATCATTTGGTGTCATCTTCTTACAAATAATGATAACATTTTTTTCCTTCTCTAGAGATGGATTACCTAGTATATTTTTTTCATAATAATTTTTTAAGGATAAATGTAAATTTGTCTTTTTTGCTGTAGAAGAAATGTGATTTTTCAATAGTGATTTAATTGTTTCAGAAAATAATGACATACGTAGTTTGTCGAGTTTTTCAATTTTTTCATAAACTATATTATCATCATAAATAGATATTCCCATAAAATTCTTTTTATTTGGCCTCATATAATGTGTTGTTCCCACTATCAAGAGCAATAATTTATCTAAAAAAATCTCATTTTGCATTTGTTCTGCACTTATAAGAAAATGAATATTCATTCCTTTACAAAAATCATAGTTAAAATTTACAGAGGATTCATCTTCTACAAAAAAAAAAAAAAAAAAAAAAAGAATTTATTAAAAAATTTGTTAAAATGGAAATACAATCAAATTAAGCATATAATTTTTTTTAAAAAGAATTTTTTAAATGATAGTGCATATCTATGAATATATGAAGATACATATACATGTCATAAAGTTATTTTTATATAAACATTTGTATTATTTTAAAAATGAGAAAAAACATTTTGTAACAAAACAAATTCATATAAATATCTACTTAAAAATTATAAGCACTAATATATAAAAAGTTATCTTAATAGGAATAAATTAATTCTAAATTTTTATAAAATATAGATCATGTTATATTCGATTTTTTCTTACCTAAAAGCACATTTTTTAAACTTGAAACAATAACCAAGAAAAAACCATTAAAAATCGCTAAAATGCTAAAAAAATTCATCTTATATACTAAAAAAAATTATCATAGTAATGACTAGAAAAAATATTTCAATTTTTAAAAATAATAATCATTATATGTCAAATAACGCTAGTGGCATATAATGTAAAATTATATGGTTCTATAGTGATATTTATTTTTAATTTTTATTTTCTTTTATCTTAATTCATATTTTTCTTATTTAGTTTGTTACATCTAATGTAATTTATATACTTTTTAATTATTTTATTTTATTTTATTTTTTTATTATAATTTTAGACTGGTTTTTTTTTTTTTTTTTAATTTCAAACAAAAATTAAGAATAATAAATTCTTATATATATATCATTTATACTATAAAATATAATTTCTTCTATAAAATTTGTCTAGAAGATTCTAAAACGAAACAAGAAAAAAAAAAAAAAAAATTAGCTAATTTACAACTTTAAAAAAAAAAAAATATGGACAGAAATTGAAAAAAAAATTTTAAGCAGGATATGTTTTAACTACATATAAAGAAATGCTAGAATTTGAAAAGAATTTGTATATATTTATATGTGTTACAAGCATAAAATATTTATATAAACTTATAAATGAATGTGTTTTTAATTATATTTCAATTAATACAAATAGAAAAATTTAAACAATGATGATATCAAAATAACACCTCTAGATCTAAAAATAATTGCATGCAAAAATAAAATATAGAAGAAAAACTATATAAATAGATTAGCTCTTTTGAGTTTAAAAAAAGAAAAAAGGCTATCTAATCTTTAGATTTAAATGGAAGAATTTATTTAATTATTTATTTTATATATCTAGTGATTATTTATGTTATTAAGCTAGACCTAAGTTTCCCCTATTACAAAAAAAGGGACTATAAAAAAAAAAAAAAAAAAAAAAAAAAAAAAAAAAAAAAAAAATTATTTTTA